TTTAAGCATGTGGCTTTGAGTGAAAATAAAAGGAATAGTGGTATATTTTGTTTGATGAAAGCCTTCTGAGAAGGTGACAAAAACAATGCAAGTCCTGGTGGCCCTCTGTATATGCATTATAATATTGTCTCTAACCTTGCTTGTGTCCTAGACAAAATGACAAGCATTTGAGTTGCTGCATTCTGTAGAAGGGACAAAAATAGAACAGAGCTACCTAGTCTACTGGAAAGTGTAAAGGACCAAGTTGTTATATTTCTTTTAAATTATCTTTTTTTTTTTTTGACTGACTGTAATGTTCACAGTTGCAGTTTGTTGCAATAAATACTGTAAATGGAGGTGTCCTAAATATGCGATTCTGTCTCCCTTGGAAGCATAAACATTTAAAAGTTGGAAACTGAAGGTGCTGCTTCCAGCTCCACTAGATGTCAGCCAACACCAAGTGGTTGCACACTGTACATCTGCAAATTGTTTCCTCATCTAGCTAAGTCCTCAGATGTTGCAATATACACTGGACAGCAGTTTTTCGTGGTTGGTTTGTATGTAGGTGGAGGAAACCATTTTATGGCACTGTAAATTAATCTAAGTCAGTAGGGAACCTTGGGTCGGTCATTTAAAGCTCTCTTAACCAGATGAAAGTAACATTAGATTGTTTCCACATACATTCCTCTGTGATCATCTGTAGCTTCCTGGGTAAAGAATAAAAGGTATTTAAATATTTCTCTTTTTTCCATCTGTCTGACATCATAGCTGTGTTACCTAATAGATTGCTCTGCCTTGAATATAATACGTTATTCCTTTGTGCAGTTTTCCTAAGTGTGTAGATGTCTTGATCTTAGGTAACACAAACCATGGAGGTTCCTCCAGTTTCTCTCAGAATGTTTTTCAAAAGCCTAGTTGATTTCTTTAACTTGTCTGAGTATTTACCAGTTTGAAAGGCAAGAAAATAAAACAGCTTTAGAATGTGTAGATATATGCCTCTGTTAGTGGGACCACTGTAAGCAAGGTATAGAAACAGTGTGTCTATAACACTTTGGCTTTTTTAATATTTTGGTTTTTAAACAACAGTATTCAAGAGTTTTTCATGTTGCTAGTGTCTGCTTATAATACTAAGATATTCAAATGCTACAGATGAATTGCCTGTGTACCTTGAATCTATGCTCTTTGAGAGTCTGATTTTGAGTTGCTATGGGTGGTTTTTTTTTCTCCTCAAGGTGGCTTTGACTGTTCTTCATTAGAACTCCTGTACTAAATGCCCAACTTTTTCTGGTGTTTTTAATGGGCCATTGCAAAGGAAGATGTACAACTATGTAGCTGGAAAGCAGGACAGGTTGTGGTAAACCACTGAATAAACTTAGCCTTGTTTTGTAACTATGCTTCTGAAAAAAAGATCCTAAAGCGAAGAATTCTTACTAAACTTAATAGGTAGGAGGCACTTCTCTGAGTTCATGATTTCTAGTTCTGTGTTTGGAGATCCCTATTTTAGCATGGTAACAGACAATGTTGTAAAGCTTTGTTAAATAAAATGCATATTGCTGATCTGGAAAGCATAATTGTAAGATACGTGTAGGTGCAACACATTGAAGTATGCTATTTAATTCAGACTGGCACATGGCAAATGCAGGATAACGGCATCCGATGCACACAATACAAATGGATCCTGTGTAGTTTAACAGTGGTCTTGCTTCAGTGTTTTGTCACTGCAGATATACTAGTTCGGCTGTATCAGTGACCTTGTATTCACAGTATTGTTCTGAAGTAGTGCTGCATTGTATTTTTCATGCATTTTTTGTGAGTGTGGCTGGTGTAATTTCTCTGTATGGTTAGAGAGGTCGTATTGACAGACTTGTGAAATAAAATGAAGTATGGCAAGGGGAGTTATGTTGCTTTTTGGAAACCTGTATGAATTGTTTAGCTTGTTAAAATGCTTTTCCCGTCAGAAAACTTCTAAATACTTGATGTTTGACTGCAAACACAAGGCAGTAATTCCCAGGCTGCCTACTTTAAATAGAAATTATCTAAGCACTTTCTACATGCCAAGAAAATGCTGGGTTTCATGAAGCAAACTACTAAGGCCTTTTCCTACTGTCCTGGGTGCGACAGGGTAACATTGCAAAGTTTTGAGTCAAGTCTATGAGATAAAGTTCTGGAAGAAGCCATCTTCCTCACTGAGAATAATGGGGAGAAAGATAGATACATGTGCTGCAAATGCTTTTAAAGCTCAACTGGATGAGTGGGGATGATGATTTAGTTCCCCTTTAATCTTGCTTACTTGGGGTGGAAAAAGTGGGAGGTTTCTTACCCTAGGGTGTGTTTCTCCCCTATATTGAGACTAGGCTATAAAATAAAGCAGTACCTGTAGTAGTAAATCTATGATAGAGAACTACTTACAGTAACAAAGCCATTCCTGTATACAAGCCTTTGTTTTCTGTAAAGGAATTATGTGCGGGTTTGGTGGTGGAGGCTTGGCAGTGAATGAAAGCTGGTGTTAACAGATGGCTAGCTCTTGTTGCTGCAGCTTAAACTGCAACTAATTTAGTGTTCAAATGTAGTAAATCTCGAAGACAGCAAAGGATACTGTGCTGAGAACACGTTTCACCAGTAGCAGTGTGCTTGTCCAGCAGAACTGAGCAGAGCATAGCTTCCGACTTTAAGCTTTGGGGCCACTGGTAAAGCGTGCAGAGGATTGTTAAGCTTGCCTTAGACCTGTATTAAATTCAGCTGAAGGTCTTTTGAATACTTTGCTGCTTTTTTGGAAATCTAGCACACTTAGTACAAGCAGTTATTCTGAGTTGTCACCCCCAAGCTTACTGCTCCACAGGAAAAGGAGAAATAATTGAAGTGTGATTCATTATCAATAGTGATGTGACAATCCCCTGATCACAGGGCAGAAGGACAGAAAAAAATTGGGAAGTAAACCAAAATGAGAGTATCAAACAACTGCATGATGTTTCCAGCTTTTTATTTTCTGGGAGCTGAATGAATAGGCTTCTTTCTCTTTTAGTTAATATTATTTATTAAAACATCATAGTAATACACTAAATTACTTAAGAGCTTTTGAGTGTATATTTCCTCATGCTGTAGCATACAAGTGCTCGATGGCTTTATTTGAATGACAGCTTGAAAAGTTTCCCTTTAACTGGACAGTCATTTAGGATGTTTCACTCAAATGGTCTTTAGTATTGGACATGTCTGTATGATTGTCACATTGCTTTTCATATTCCACTGATGTTTTGCTCCAAATAAATTACAAGAATCATACTGTGCATTGTTACTATTGTGAGATAAGTTTAAAGGGAAGCATGAAGTTCATCTATAGCAAAAGCTCTTAATTTTTAAGAGGAAAATGCTGAAAAATTGAAGAAATTTAGCAATTTCTCCAGCTGGAACTGGAGAGAGTTTTGTAGTCTTAGAACTTTTAAAATTACAGGTGTGCAAATTTTCTTCTACTACAAGCTCCAGATTGGGGACGAAAGGATGCACAATATCAGGGGTTTATAGGCAGAATTTCTGTTCCAACCAGAAGAAAAACTTTGAGACTTACATTAGGAGTCAGCCTATAAAGAAGAAAACTCTTTGATCACATTCCTCTCCTCTTGCTGAAAGACAGTATAAGGGATAAAGGAGAATTTTAAGGTCTATGTACAACTTAATTTTTGCCAGAGTAAAATGGAACAACTGCAAAAGGTTCAAAAAGACTTAAAATGAAGACTCTAAGACAGAGGTGGACCTGTGCATGCTTCTGATGTTGTATTTAGGCTTTTCATATATTTAAATGTTAGAACCAGGGGAAACATTGTTAAAGGAGTTCTGAAGACTGATGTTGAATTACATTAGAGACTTAAGCACAACATATGTGTTTGAAGAACTTATTGATGAGAAAAAGGGAAGAGGCCACTTTGAGGTAAAGGAGGAAAGAAAAAAGTGCTGGATGACTTTGAGGACTCTCACTTCAGTCAATATTCCATGCATTAAATGCAAGGTGGTGCAAATTTTGATTTTTAAAACAAACAAAATTAAAAGTCCTGTTGACCTGTCCCTTCTAAAACTTTTGAAGTTGTTCTGATCAGCAACAGGTGTGAAGCCATCACCTTATTCAGACCACAGGAATCTTACAAATGAGTTCCTGGCTTTGCAAGGGAATGGCTGAGATTCTTCTTGGCCCATGTTTGTCTTCCTGGGTTGTAGCAGAGTTACCTGTGAGGTGGGTTTTTTGGTTGTTTGTTGTTTTTTTTTTTAAATACAAAGCTGCCTCAACAAATGAAGGCAAGTACAATGTAACCCCTTCTACGTGCTCAGAGAGTTTGAGGGAGTATTTGTAGATAAGACTTTAGACTCATTTAAAACTACATATAAAAGAAAGTGCAGAAATTCCCAGATGATCCCAGTTGAGCCTTTCCCCCCGTCTGTAGCATCTTAACTTGCTGCTGTAGCTGCTTCTTTTGGGGAAAATGTAAGAAACACAGCTTTACATGAATACTTTGATGCATGGCATTTTTTGTCATGAATTTATAGATACATATTGTGCTTAAACTGAGATATGTGATTGTTCCATGAGGATATACCTTCTACTGATGCTGAGGAATCCATTGTTTAACTCATCTCTCTGCAGACAGTTATTAACTAGGCTGCAATTGCAAGGTCCGTGACTTCCAATATGGGGGGACAACAACTCTTTTGTATGATGTGTTTAATGGTAAATGATCAAGCATTGGGGGGGGGGGG